GTCCCAAGTTTTAACTAAGTCACTCAACTATAGATAATTTTTTTTATTACCCATATTACTTGTTGGTGGTGGAATAATAATGTGCAGGAAAATATAAAATATAAGAAGTTATGTTAAAAAAATTGGTTTAAATGTAAAAGTTTAGAGAATTGGGAAAAATATCAAACGACCTGCATGGAGTATAAAAGAATAATATGTGACGCTAAAAATTTTGTTTTTAATAATCTTTATAATAGATTAGATACTAAAGAATTAGCTATTTAGGAGGGTGAAAAATATATGTATAAACTAGCCATACAAAGAGAAAAGAAAAGTAAAGATTTAACTTAAGTAATGTGTATTCAAAAAGTGTTTTTCTTAGAAAAAGATATTCAACACAGGCGGATGAGTTATTTTGATAAATTTTTTAATGAAGTTTCTAAAAATACGATCGACCTTAGTGATTTTAATATCATGAATAATAATAAAACGTTTCATTTTTATCGTCATATTAGTAAAAAAGAAGTTGATGAGGCTTTAAAGGAAACCAATGGTGGAAAGTCTGGAAGACCTGATGATATCCTAATTAAAGTATGGAAATATTTAGGAGATTTGGGAGTTTCTTGGTTTACTAAACTCTTTAATATTATTTTAAAAACTAAAAAAAATGGTTGAGGAGTGGAGGAAGAGTAATTTGGTCCCCATTTTTAAGAATAAAGGGGATGCACAAGAGTGTGCAAATTATAGAGGAATTAAGTTAATATTCATACTTTAAAATTATATTATGGGAGAGGGTAATTGAAAGGGTAATTGAACATAGGTTAAGACATATTACAAAGATACCTCATAATCAATTTAAATTTATGCTGGGCAAGTCTACTATGGAGGCTATACATTTATTGAGAGGTTTGATGGAGAAGTTCAGACAAAATCAGAAGAATCTACATTTGATTTTTATTGATTTAGAAAAAGCTTACGATAAGGTTCCAAGAGATATTCTTTAGACAGTTCTTGAGAAAAAAAGTGTTGATATGCCTTATATTCAAATCATTAAAGATATGTATACTAGAGCTGTTACTTGTGTTCGAACTGAAGGAGGTTTGACCAAATATTTTCTTATTTCTGTTGGATTACATTAGTGATCAACCTTAAGCCCATATCTTTTTGCTTTAGTTGTGGATGGTCTTATTGGGCATTTACAGGAGAATGTAACTTGATATATGTTTTTTGCTGATGATATACTTCTAGTGGATAAGACAAGAGAAAAAACCCAGGAAAAACTTAAATTATGGAGATTTACATTGGAGTCTAAAGGCCTTCTTTTGAGTATAACTAAAACTGAATACATGGAATGTAATTTTAGTAGTACTAGCTCTAGTGTCAGAAGTGTAACTTTGGGTGATCAAATTATTAAAAGGTGTGAACTATTTAGATATCTCGGGTCTGTTGTTCAAAACGATGGTGTTATAGATGGGGATGTCAATAGTAGAATTAAAGTTGGTTGGTTAAAGTGGAGGAATGCTTCGGGCCTTTTATGTGATAGAAAAGTACCGCTTAGACTGAAAGGAAAATTTTATAAGACGGTGCAATGCTCTATGGCGCTGAATGTTGGACTTTAAAAGAGAATCATAATACTAAGTTAAGTGTTGTCGAGATGAGAATGATTAGGTGGATGAGTGGCTTTACACTTAGAGACAAAATGCGAAATGAATATATCCGTGATATGGTTGGTGTAGTTCCTGTGACGGACAAAATTAGGGAAAGTCATCTTAGATGGGTTGGTCCTCTTAAGCC